TTTCCTTTAAGTTCTAGGCTAATAAAAAAGAATTTACCAATACTATTGAAAAATATCGGCATTATGTAAGTAATTTTCAAATTTCTTTGTTTATATTTTCTACATGACCAATAAAAATCACTGCTTTTAATAAAAATTAAAAAAAATGTTTCTCTTTTTTTTTCAAATCTATATCTAAAGATTTTAATAATTTATTGTTGAATAGTGTAGCCTATTTTAATAGTTTAAGAAATTTTTCAATCATTTTACCACAAGCAAGGCAATAAAGCTGCTAAGACAAGAGGTTACTGAGTGCTAGAGAATATGAAAAAACAAAGAAATACTATTAAGGGGAGAGAACAATAAAAGAATAGGAATTAAGAAAATAATGATTGACATTGCATTTAAATTTTTTTTAAGATCAAAATTGACTGGGAAGCAAAAAGCTGGAAGAGAATTTCACAAGCGAGAAATGCGCTAGAAGAAACTGTTAACATAGAACTTATGGTTGCCTGTAGCCAATTCAAGTGTAAATTGATGAGATTTTGTTACCTATCTAGGACTGCACTTAAATTCATAAAGTCTAGGTACCATAGAGGAAATTTCATCAGAACATTTACCATGAAAGTATTTATAGAAAAGGCTCAGGAAAGCAAGTACAAATGGTATACTTATAAATATGTAAGATAGATTCTGTTGAGAAAAACTGTCTAGCATGACTGTGAACCAACTTTCCTATCAGCAATATTTGAGAATAATTAAAAGGGTAGACTGACCAGCAATAAAATATTTGAAAAAACTTGTTGCAAATGTAAACAGAGAGAAAAGATATAAAATATTAAGCACATTGGTTAAAAACATATAAGCAACCAAAATGCCATTTTTTTAAAAAGAAACATAAGTTGAACAAAGAAGTATATGAAAAACTAATTTTTCAACCATAAATTTTGGTGATAAATGTAAACTTATATGGGACAAACTTGATGGTTGAGCTAGAGGGTGGGTACTTCAACATTAATGAGAAGATAAGATCAGCAGATTTAGCAATTGATTCAATATAAATCTCTTCACTTCATGTCAGATGTTTTGATTTAAAAATAAAAATGAGTTCTTTTGTGAAAGTTTAAACTATTAGTAAGTGATCTAGTGACTATTGCAGCTTCAGTTTGAAATTTTATTTTATTTTGAATTAGTCATACAGATGATTTTTTAATGCTGTACTTTACAACTAATCTGTATTCCTAAATGTTAATTTTGTGTCTTACCTGGTTACAAAGGATTTTATTTGTGCATCATATCTAGAATTCTTGAGTGATTTCCCAATGGAATGCAAATAAGCGATAATTATTCTAAATATCAAGTAAAAAACATACATTCACAATTGTAAATTTATGTTACAGATTCTTTGTCTTATCAGATTTTATTATAATAATAGTAACGATAATCACCCTCATCATCATTTGAGAAAGAACAAGTGAAGCTCATGTAGATATGGTAATCTTGACTAACAAACATTTAGAGAGCAAACACCTTGATATATGACTTGTGCACAGGAGCAGCCATGAATGAATCCTGATAGGTGCTGGTTAACCGTAGGATAAGAATATCATGACGGTGGAGCAGGTAAAATTACAGAAGTACCAAGACTGGCAAGTCAAATCAGAGAAATGTATCAAACACCAACTAAAGCTGTCCCTTTTATGATTGGTGCACTCAGGTTTATTTTCATTCTGCCTCACAAGATGCCTGGGGGACACTTGATGTCATTGGGAGTGCACAGGTGGCAGCGCTGCTTGGAACGGTTCACATACTGAGGAAAGTGTGCCTCTAAGCTTCTGGTAGAAGCCAAGATATAACATGAAAGAGTTGGAGAAGATATCACATCCAATGATAATAATTAAAGTACTGTTAGAAGCAAAAGGGTATTCCTTTATTCATATGAAAGAAAATAATTTCAAATCCCATCTGTTTATTTGTCCAGCATACAGACACAGAAATAATAAGTGATACAAATTATCTAATTGAGGAAACTGTGTTGCTTTTTTTCTATTAAAGGTTTACTTTTTTAATTAATTTTTGCTAGTATTTTTTTTATCTTTAATAAACAAAGAGTTTCCAAACTAATTTAGAAAATTTTATAAATTGCCAATTGTATATTTATTGTCAGTAAAACATTTTAACTGAAAGCATTAGTATCAGAATTTTACTTCAAATGGCAAATATGTTAAACTTTTTAAAGAGTGTATATGCTGTTAGATTTTATTATTCAAGTTGCTGATTGATTTCATAATAAAATTGTTACTAAGTAACAGATATCTGTAAAATTTTCAAGATATACTGAGTACTACATTGTGCCAGTTCCAGTTTATAATATCTTATCCTTATAACTTGTTTTGGAGGTGTCATGTTTTATTATAAAAACAAAGTATAATATACAGGCTATAGAAATATATACTTGAGTATCACAATATTTAATATACCAGAATACATTATTTTATCATTTTACATGTTTATATAGACTCTTTGACAATCTCTAAACTACATTAGTTTTTCAATCATTGATTTTGTTCATTTTTCTACTGTTTCTATTTTAACATTACTTAAATTTTTTTTATTACTTCTCAGAAATATTTACTTGACCATTATTTTCTATAATTTTTTTGTAGAATATACAGGAGTATTGTCTGGTATGAATATGCTCTTTAGTTTAAAACATTTTGTTTGTGATCTGGTACCTCTCAGAAAGCATGTTGTCTAAGAATTCTTAGTAATTCATTGCATTTGACACCATCATTAATTTTGTATGAACCTATAAATTTACTGCCGATGATACTAGTTTAAGACATTACTCACTCTTTCCTTTCTTATCTTCTCATTAATGTTGAAGTACCCACCCTCTAGCTCAACCATCAAGTTTGTCCCATATAGGTTTACATTTATCACCAAAATTTATGGTTGAAAAATTAGTTTTTCATATACTTCTTTGTTCAACTTATGTTTCTTTTTAAAAAGATGGCATTTTGGTTGCTTATATGTTTTTAACCAATGTTCTTAATATTTTATATCTTTTCTCTCTGTTTACATTTGCAACAAGTTTTTTTCAAATATTTTATTGCTGGTCAGTCTACCCTTTTAATTATTCTCAAATATTTTCAAACTTCTTTAAAGCCATTTTTTTTCTTATTCTTAATTTGTCAATGTTTGCAACTTTTGTTTTTATTGTCCTTTGATCTCTGTCCTTTTTTAACCAAAATTTCTAGTCTTGTGTTCCTATCACTCTATAACTTCATATTTTCTTTCTCTTTTGAGGTTGTAGGTTTCCTATGACTCTTGGCAGTCTTTGTTTACCTGAAATCAAATGCATAACTATATATAATTATATTATTATATAAATGTATTTATAACATGATGACCGCTTGAGTTGCATATTAAAATTTCTCACCACCAAATAATTACAGTAAATATTTCTAATAAAAACATGAGTTGAAATTCCCTTGATATATTTTATATCTTGAAGATTTTACCAAAATATTGCTTAAATTGCCTTCTTATACATTCTTAAATAATAATTCCATTTTTAAACTATTTTACATTGCATTGCTGATTCTTGGAATATTGGAGAATTGAAGATAAATATTAATGTTCATGTGGAACCAATGACTCTAAATTGAATAAGAAAGCAATTCATTTAAAAAGATGATGAGATTTATAAGACAATTCCAGAAGTTATTACAGAAGAAAAGAAGTCACTGGAGAAGCGTGGATTGGTGTGCCATTAAATATGAAAAGTATTTTGAAAAGTATTTGATGTACCGAAAGATTCATGTTTATATTAGGCTTTACAGCCTTATGCATGTCTATTGGATAATGAATTTTACTCAGTGATATAAAAATTAGTAATATAATATTTGTGAACTCTATTCAAATGTTAATAACTGTTTTCTAAAATTAATAGCTGTATTTCATTTATATTACTAATTCAGCATCAGTAGAAATACATTTTTAAAGTTCTTTTTATAATTCTTTAAATTGTAATTGCATAATTGTTTTAAAACATGATTAAAAATAATTTATTCCCTATTTTCATTTAAAGGTCCTAAGATTTTCATTTGTGATTATCTGATGTGATATGTATTAATGAAAAAAATGTATGGCCAATGAAAAACTCAGTCATATCTGGTGCGACTTTCATCTCTATATGCTATGTTGAGTAGAATTTGAACTTTACCATAAACAACTAGTTGACACCCTCAAAATTGATCTAACACTGAATACACTTTTTAATTAATTCCTGCTTTCACTATTTTTACTACAGCTGCAATTCTTTCAAAGTGCAGTCATATAAAGTATACTAATTCACTTTGATTTGTCATGCCAGTAAACATTCACTTATATAATGGAAAATTTCTATAAGAATTTGACATGTTTAATTGTATTAATGTTTTTTTTTTTAGTGAGAGGGGACTTTGTTCTCTACAGCTTTGTGTACGAATATTTTATTGCAGTCAAATCTTATAGATTTAAAACTTATTTTTGGCTCATCCATGTCTGCATTTAACTTTAAATTTATCATTTTTGCTTGTATTTTTGTATACTGTCCTAGGGTAATAAATTTTTTATTGTTAAAAATCTTCCAAATCAGTATATTGTCAGACCATTTACTGATAACACATAAATTATATAGCCTGATGAAGCCTTTTATAAAAGCAAGGCTGGTAAATGGTATATAAAGAGGGTGATGCAAAATTATTGGTTAAACAACTTCCTAAAATCTGACAGAATGACAAAACATCAGATTTATTTTTTGTAGGGGCTTCTCATACTGTTACATATTTTGTCTTTTAGTACAAAGTTTTCTTAATTTGCTGAGTTTTTTTTTTTTTTTTTAATGAATATTTGTAAAAGAAAATGTGTTGCATTGCCGCTGCAACTGTGTACAATAAGAAAATGACTTCTAATTATTTTTATATCTAACTTCATTTTCAGATGTGACATATATTTAAAAGGATGTACTAAATCACATGATGAATGGTGAAATTCCTAGTGTTCCTATCATAACATTGGCAGGAGTAACAAGTCTTACAGATTGTAAGTACTGTGTTGTTTTATCTTCCTTCTTTCCTCAGCTGACAGATGTTGGATTACTTGACAGTTTTTACATATTCACTTGAGATTTTAGAAATCCCTCAAATATTTTCAAGCTGCCAAATGGGAGAAAAAGAACTATAAAAATCAATTTTTTTTTTATTTTTCTTTCAGCTCAAGAAAAAGAGACTATCAAAAATTATTTTTTTAAATTTATCAGGAAAATGTTAGTTTTATCTGATTAAAATGCATTTTAAGTATCAGTTTCAGGTGTATTTCTAGAAGTTTTTAATTATTTTTTGCTACAAATGGTCAATCACATTGAGTCACCTTTTTCTGTTTATATCTTCAAATCTTTCTTATTTAGACAAACTTAATGAATTAAAAGAAATAGGTATTTCTATGTAAAGATTTTGACATTTGCTGGTTTAAAATTTGAATTCTGAATAGACTATGAGAGAATTGGAATGAAATTTACAATTTCAATTTGAGAAAACAAAATTCTTTAATCATATTTTTTCTCTTAGGGAATGGTATTTTAAAACCAAGGCACATGGAGGTATTTTAGTTTAATAACAGTTTGGTACAAGCTATAGCAAATTTCTATATGTTCAAGAATATTGTATGCCCTTGAGAAACTTTAAGAACTATTTATTTAAAAAAACATTTAAAACGGATTATGAATAATGATTATTACCAATTATAAGGGGTTATTCAGTGATCCTTTAAACCATTAAAATTAGGGTTACAAGGTTTTTTTTTATCTTTTGTGCTGAGGAAGTGAGGCTGGTTTGTCATTACTCTTATTTAAAAACCAGAGCAAATGTAGCTTTTCAATTTTTAACCTTTAGCAGTCAAAATATTGGTAACTTTTTAACTGTATCTTTAAAAACAAAAAAAAAGATTGGTTCTTCTCAAATAAAATAGTTGTTGGTGAATAGTAACATTGTGTTCAAATTATTTAAAGTGCCCTAAAAATGTTAGCATTTATTTCAGTGCAGTATGAAATTGATTTTATTATTTGTGACAGTAAGCCATGGTATCTAATTTGTCAGAAGCTAAATTGTTAAGTGAAGAATGTTACTTGTAAATACTGTATTTGAGTAAAGGCTTTAAGTATTATACCAGTTGAGTCAAAGACAATGAAAATATTTCAGTTTCAACTGGTAATCTGTACATTTTAACTACTAATATTTTTTTGCAATACTTTCTCAGTATAGATTATTGAAAATACAATATCTATTAATAAATATATTTATTTTTTATTTTTTTATAGTCAAGTAATGTTTGAAATGTGTCTTGGGATATTATTAGTACTTATTTTATTTTTCAGACTATTATGACTTTTTTTTGGTTGTGTTTGAGATTTTAACTGAATTTCATATGTGCACTTTGTTTCTTTGTTATCTAAGAAGTTTTCTATTTGATATATTGTCATTCTAGCAGTAGGTTAGAAATTACTTTTTTAGAAATTACTTTTTTATGCTATATCACCTGATAAGGATTGGAGATGACATTGATCAAAATTTCAGACAGTGTATATCACTGTCTGAAATAAAACTCATGGTTATTGAAGCTGTACAAATTTATAATATGCGAGTCATTAAATATCATTTGGAAAGCTATGGAACATATATTTATATGCTCCTGGCATTTTTTGTTTTGATTTTATAAACAATTATCTTGAATAAAATAGATTTGAAGTTTGAGAATGCTATTGATAATGATTCTATAATAAACCACATTAATATGTTCAGCTATGTTACTAGTTACATTTTATTTGTTTATATTCAATTAGATTAAATACTCTGGTCTGAGTGTTGTTTCAAATACCATTTAGAACTTTATTATTAATATTTATTTACATATTTAATAAAGGTTGTATAGTGTGAATATAATTAAGATACTTTTACTTCAGCTTGGTTAAATGAAACATCAGAAAAGATTTTGTCTGAATTATGTCTGAAGATAAATTTTAAAAGTTCTAAATTGGAATTCTGTATAAACATATAAAGTTTAATAAAAATTTATGTTGTTCATATCATGTCATAGCTATATTTATCATGTTAAGAGTGCTTGTTTATTGCTATTTAAAGTCATAAATTTGTATAATTACTTAATTATTTTCATCTTTTTGTTAAATTTTGGTTTTGTTTCTGTCTCTTCTCCATGTGATGCTGATAGAAAAATGTCTTTTAAGCAATTATAACAAATGAACGTAGTACAGTCACTGCAAAATTGTCAGTTCACTATTTATCAAAAGAAAACAAAGTTGTAAAATATTTTCATATTTTTTCTTGTTATTTGAGCAAAATATTGATAATGAATTTTATAAATTTTGCTTTTCTTTAACCAGATAGATTCTATTAGATTGATTCAAAATTTTCAGTATTCTTTTCCATTTTGGTTTCACAACAAAATTTTTCATACTCATTGGTATATAAAGGCATGTAATGGAATTTTTCATCATATTTTCTATTTTCCTCTACTATGAGCAAAACAGAGCTTTGCTTCAATGTACTGTTACTGAAACAGTTCATTGTATTAGAGCAGTTTTATTGATTAATCATTGATTTCTTACTAAACTCTTTTTTTTCCTCCTTAATCAGTGTCAATACAGTGTCCCAGTAGATTTCTGAAGTTTCAAGACTAAACACTTAGCTCAAATTTTCTTTCATTAAATATTCAGTTATAAATCTGATTAAAATTTTTTTGTTTAAATTTGTATAAAATTGTAAATTCATGACATGATGTTTTCTAAACACTATTCATAAATTTATCTTCATATGTTAAGAAAATCATTTTTAAGATGTAATAATTACTGTCTAATTTTCTTTTATCTTAGTGAATTTTGTGAGATTTTTTGTGCTTATAATATTATTTTAATTTTTTGAAACTGAAAAAGTAAACAATATAAATACTCAATTTCTTCTTTCATTATATGTTAAAACCCATAAGGTTTCTTTTAAGTAGATATGCATTTAAGACAAAATTTATTTTTTACATACTTTACTTTGTATGTATTTTAAAATTTTTGTGTTAATGCAAGCCTGTTAGTAGGAAGTATAGCACTGAAAAATAATTTTGAAATGTCTTTTGATTGTTTGCTGTTGAGATGATAATAGGATATATTAATAAAGAGAAGGAAATTACAGATGACAAAGAATAAATTGATTAAGTAGCAGAAAAAAGAAAATATTTGTAATAAAAATAGTAAAGCATGACCTATCACATCTTTTCAGAATTTTGAAAACCATGATAATCATAAGTACTATTTAGTTATACAAGTTATATATCATTTCTGAATGTGACTATTAACAATTCACCTGTCAAAATTTGTTTAAAGACATTTTGTGTTTTGCATAGCAAAATGTATAATACACTTAACTAGACTTCTACATATGAAGTGATATAAGATTATAATTTAAATTTGTAATTTTTATTAAAAGATTTAAAAAATTAAAATTCCAAAAAATAAGTTTAAGTTTTTATAAAGGAGTTATGCATGTTCAAGTAATTAAATTTTGTTCATTGTAGTTCTTGAAACACAGCTATTCCTATATAACTGTTATCCTCAATGATGAAAAGAGAAAATTCTTTGTTCTGTCATTAAAATTTTTAATTTGTTTTGTTGTGTGTTTTTTTTTTTTTATTTTCTGAAATATTAAAAAGCTAGAATTGTTACCAAAATTTATAGATATTTTTATAGTTACATTTTTAAGCATTTATACAGAATGCTTTTGATATTTTTATATTCTTTGATTTATTATGTTAATCTCTTGAGATGATGAAAATAAACTTTGAAATATTGACATTTATCAACAATTGTTTATCAGTCGATATGTTTACCTTTAACTTATTCTCATACTTTTTATATATTTTGAATTACACTTATTTTGGTTATAATAGTTGTCTGAGAAAGAAGTTATAAAATTTGTTGCATATATAATTAACTTTTCAGAGATAAAATATTTTCTTGCTTCTTCTGTAGTGATGTGCAAAAGAGATCATAAATGGCCATAGCTAAAGTATACTGCAGCTGGTGATTATTAAATAAAATGTGATACCTGCAATCATGGAATACATTTTATTGTAAATAAAAGAAATATTTAACTTTATCACTCTGTATTTGACTTCATTTGCTGTGCAAAAAGTTTATCCTGCCACTAAAGGTGACTGATCTCCGAATTTGAATATGAATTTCATAGATGTGTTGTCACATCCTACTATGGCAACAGAAAACACCTTTGAGTTACTGCAATTGAGAGGCCTTGAAAAAGAATGCTGTCAAAAAGGAAGTAATATTAATAATGCAGTGTTAAAGGTTAAATATATGAACTGTTTATGAGTCAGAGATTAATAACTCTGATCAAATTGCTTATAAAAGAAGCATTTTATAAAAGTATTGAATAAATAAAATTAAAATATCAGGTACTTTGTAGATTTCTCTATTTTTTTTCAGAATTAGAAATATTTTTAAAATTGAAAAGAAGAAATGATGGATAGAGCTGGATATCACTTCCAATACAAATGGAATAGTAATATAAAACTTAATTAAAGACATTTCATTGATAAAACATCACCCAAATAAGAATAAACATAAATAAATTCTTACTCATTAATTCACACTAGCACATTAAAGAAAACTTTTTGTTAAAACCTTTTTGCAGCTTTAGTATTTTTAATAAATATATGACGATGCCTAAATTATGTAGTGAAGAGTGTGAAGAATAATTGTTTTTATCATTAATTCTTAGGGTCTACGATAGAAGCATTTGTTATAAAACTCATTATCTTAGATAAATTGAATTAAGATGTAAAAGTATTTTAATTGTGTGACACTGGGATATTAAAGAGTATAGTATGTTAAACCTTTCACTGAAAGACAGCTTTTAATCTAAATAGCATTGTCTTCTGAGGTTCTGATAATGTTGAGAATTGATTTCAAGAAAACTCGCTTGAGAACATAAATACAGCTTTCTATTTCTTGATATAAATGCTGT